ACGGCGCGGCAGGGCGAGCGGAGCGGGATTTGTGCCCGCTCCTTCCCGCATCCCGCTGGGGCGAGCGGCTCTGCTGGAGCAGCCCAGGGAGGGCGAGCGGCGCCGCTGGGGTGACCTTGTGCCAAGCGGCGAGAGCCACCGCTCCAGCGCAGAGCGGTGAGAAAGCAGGAGGGGAGAGCGCTGGAGCGATGCGGAATGGGCCACATACGTCACCGAGTGCCCAAACGTGCCGAAGATGCAGAAGGGACCGCGGGGGAAAGGCAGCCCTTGCCCGATCCCATTGGACACGGGCATGGCATCCCCGTGGGGTTTGGGCCCTTGGGAGCAGAGGGAAGGATCACGGCCGGTCCCTGCCCATGACCCTGCTCGGCTGCTCCGCGCTCCCCGGCTCCAGCGCGAGCTCCGTGCGCCGCGTCCGGAGCGCCTCCGGGCTCCGCGAGTCCCGCGTGCCTGACAGTATTCCCAGGGATTTGCCGGGATCTGCTGCCTTGGGGGAGCATTGGGAGCGCTCTCTGTTGTGCTCCCCCAATTAATCCATTGTATCCACAGCCGTTACGACATGAGCTCGCACAAGGATTGCTAAAAATCAGGGAGTGATTTGTGTAATTTGTTCCAAAAAGAGAGGCGGCAGCTCCCTAAGCGCGGGCTCGGCTGCAGGTTTTGTGTCAGGACGGAGAGGGGCTGGTGCCGCCCGGGCGCGCGGCCGCCGCTCAAATCCCGCGGTGCAACGTGGTGCTTAAACGGGGCTGGGGCTGGGGCTACTGCTGCAGACAGCAGCAAAGCTGCGGGGAGACCTTAACTTACAGCAAAACAGCACCCGGGGCGCCCTGGGTCCTGCTCGCTGCCGCAGAACATTCCATGAGCTCCCGGGGTTTCACCTCCCCGACGTGCTCCAGGCCCCTGTTCTTGAAATCTGTCTCTTTTGGGGCCCCTTATGCAGCACACGCAAAGTTTTGGATTTCAGGCAAGCCAAGGAAGAAGTCTTGGGTTAAAACAGGAGTGGAATTTTGTATTTACAAATATTGACGCATAACCAAGTGCGAGCAGCGTGCAGTGCCGGATCCACACGGGGCTGCAGCTGCATGGACAGGAGGGAAGGGCTCCTGGGAGCAGCTGCTCCCGCGGGAAGCGCACGGATGGCGGGGATGCTCCTGGCCCCGGGCTCCTGCAGCCCGAGAACACCGGGAGCCGGCAGGAAATCCCGGCCGGGGGAACGAATCCCGGCTCTTGGCTCCCAGCGGCCGTCCAGCCCCTGCACGAAGGCTCCTGCAGCCCGCGGCTCCCTGGGGCCTTTACACTTCCCAGACCCGAGAAAGCGCCGGGAAGACCTGTCCGTTCCTCGCATGATGGAAATACTAATTGCTGCGTTAATTGCTCTTCCTAATCCTGCTGGGCTGGCGTGTGCCGTAGCGAGCCGGCACGGCCTGCCCGGCGCCGCGCAGACACCCGGGGGCTGCGGGAGCATCGGGAGCCCAGGAAGCACCGCGGGAAGATGAGGAGGAGGGAGGAGGGCTCTCGTGGCCCCGCTCACGTTTCGTGCACAGGGAGAAGTTGTGCTAAGAGGCGCAGACAGACGTTTGTCCTTAGGCCTCCCTATAGGGAGGGAAATCCCTGTGCAAAAGCGATAGCAAAACGGGAAAGATCCTCAAATCGGAGATGATCCGAAATGGCCTTAACCTGCTTCCAGGCAGGAGGGATGCGGAGCGGTGCTTCCCCAGGAGTAGGGACCAAGCTTGGAAGCGCTGGTGGGATGCGCCCCTGGCACCGCCGTTGCTCAGGGCCGTGGCGGTGCTCGCGGG